CCCGGAGGGCGATGGGGGCCTCCCCATTTCCAGGGACCAGTGCAATTCGACCAACCGCAGGGTGTTGGGGGTGGGGGGTTGAGGGGAGCAAAGAGTCATCTAGGTAGTTAACCTGGGACTGTGCAAACAACTGTCCATTTGAGAACGTCCTCAGCAGATCGCCCCCGAGTCTGGTTTGCTACTGGAGCACGTACGGCATGTGAATTAAGCTGCTTCAGCGGGCACGGCCTGGAGCTTAAAATGTCACATTTCAGTCCCGGTCGCTGGGGCTTTGCCGGTCTCGCCATCGCTGGAGCATGGCAGCCCCCTCCTCACCTCTCGGCTCCAGCCCCTCCACTTGAGGACCTAGTCACGGAGCTGTATTTTCTGCCAGGGGCCTCAGGCCTAGGCTGGGGCTGCCTGGAACCGGATTCTGGGAACCTTTGAGAAAAATCCTGCGGAGAAGCAAAACCCCCATCCCCCACCACCACACTAATATTAGACAGCGAACAGCCTCTCCAGCCAAGAGCCTGCCCTCACAGCCTGCTCGAGCGGCATCAGGCATAAGCCAACTAGCAGGTACCTGCACCCCATAGCTGCACAGCCTTGGCCCACTCCCCAGACAGGGGCGCCCTGAGGAGCTGCTATCTGTCTCCCTCCCACACTCAGGGCCCAGGTCTCTGCTGGAGTCAGTGTCATTCCACCCCAGAGAACTGGGCCCTTGCACTGGGCACAGATGTTCTCATTGGCTCCATTGTAACTGGTTGCTGGCTTCATCCTCCTGCCTCCATGGCAGCCCCTTAGCTACCCATCCTCGTACCCGTCGACCTGCTGTGCTTAACATCCTCCCCCTCCCCCTCAACAGAGTGGGTGAGACCCAGAGCCCATCATGCGAGTGCCAAGCAGACTCTCCTGAGATTTCCAAGGCAGGGGAACAGTTCTGCCCTTGCAAGCCGACTCACAGTCCCTCGGAGGTTAGATTGCACAGGGCAGGGCTGGATTTGCCCCGAGGAACACAGGAGACCATTCGGCAACACTAGGGCGTCTGGCTGCCCTCGTGCTCCTCCAGGTGCAGCATGCGCGTACGGTACCTGGGCAGTCTCACCTGCGCCCGGCAGATGTCCAGCATGATTCCTGCCCGAACCAGGCACCAGATCTCACCCACCAGCGAGATGAAGATGTTCATGATGTCCATCCACCGGCCCACCGTCATGAGGAGGATGAGCAAACCTCCCATCCTCACAAACACCGTCTGATAGACCATCTGCTCGCTGGGGTTATGCCTCTGCTCCTCTGTCAGGAACAAAACGGTCACGGCATGAACCATTTCCTCCCCTCCCTTTGGGCTCGGGCAGCAGCTTCAGCCAGGTGGCTGCTATGGCCAGGAAAATGGTCCCTTCCTGAGACATTGGATTCAGCTACACTGGCGCTGGAGGTGTAACTCCCAGCTCGGGCTGACATATCTGCACTGGCTTTGACCAAACTAACGTGCTAAGAAGAGACGAGTAGCTGCAGCGGCACAAGCGGTGGGACGGGCTGGCCACCTGAAGTACGCACCAAGGGACCCGTACTACACGTCAGCATAGACGCGCCCTTTGCAGCCGCATTGCGGCCATGGGAGAGCAAACTGGCGTCTGTTCTGCCTCCAGGGAGGGGCTGCAGGAAGCCAGGCTCCTGACCTGCTGCCCGGGACAGTCCAGATCTCTGCCCTTGGCAGAAATCGGAGAATGGATCGTAGGCGTTGGAGTCCTATGACCTGAGCTAGGCAGGAGGTCAGAGGAGAGGATCACAGCGGTCACTTCTGGATTTATAATCTGGGGGATCAAGGTGGTGAGAACAGTTCCCAGGACAATGCTTCGTTGCAAGGGCAAAGCTAAATGCGGAGGTTAAGAACGAGAGAGAAACATGCCTGAGCGTTACCAAAGCTACACAAGCAGCAGGAGAGAATTGGGTCCCATTCTGGTTCCAAACATTCCCACCCACCACACTCGCTCCACCAACGAAGCGCAAAACAGAAGCGGCACATCATCAGAACGAGCTCCCATTGGCTGATCATGCCCTGGAGGGCAACTTGACCCCTTGTCCTGCATCCAACGGCTGGACTTGCTCATTGGGAGGTCTCCATTTAAAGGTCCCGTTTTGAGCGGTTAGTCCCCACGAATAAGACCCGGGGGTTCCTCCGTCATGCCTGGAAGTGCACAAAACAAATCCCCTTGCCAAAAAAACCTAGGGGCCTTGGGAGCATCCGGCCAGGAAGGAGCTCAGCTGGTTTCCAGCTGCCACGGGGACCTCACCTTGCATGTAGATGACCAGCAGGGTGTAGCAGATGGTGAGCGGCGTCCAGAAGCGAATGGCCTCCGAGGTGGTGAGGAAATCCCTGTTGATCAGCGCGACAGCGGCCAGGTCAGCCACCACGAAGGTGATCTTGAGGGCGTTGCAGAGCAGGGCGGGGATGCCGTGCCAGGCGGTCAGCAGGAAGATGCAGACCCCGCAGTAGCGCTCCTTGCTGTGGAGCTCGTACATGGTGCAGACGTGCCGGGCCAGCCTCCAGACGTAACAGGTGATCAGGCCGGCCAGGCCCAGGCTGAGAAGCAGGTTGTAGCTACGGTGGGGAGCCCCCTCCAGGAGGTAGCTGAGGCTGCAGGAGATGCCGCACCCCAGGGAGTACTGGCACAACAGGTACAACTGGCTGCTGTGGGCCCCCTGCGGAAGCGGAGCATTGGAGATGCAGCACGTTAGCTACACGCCCGTGGGATGGCTAGTTACACATGTTCCTCCAGATGGAGCCCAGCGGCTGGTCTAATTCCCCGGCACAGCAAGTGAAAACCACTCAAGACGTCAGAGAGCAGCCGCCAACTTGGGGCGGCTAATGTTACACCACAGCTAAGATCATGGTTGTGTCACAAGACAGCGGAGTAAGCGCTGGGACCAGAACACGGCTCCTTCAGCTACCCACCTACCACCTGAGCTACGGGACTGCCCCAAGACAGGTAGCTCCTTTGTTCTCCGTTGCCCTCTAATGTCTGGCACAACATCCCTTTGCCTGTCCTCTCCTCTCCTCCACATCCACACCCCCACGTGGCCTGTGGCCATGAGTTAGGACTTTGTAGACCTCTGCCTTGAGGTTTCGTGAGCTGCAGACCCTTGGGCGGAGGAGCACTGGTAAAAACGAGGGGCTCCCAACCCTGGTAGGTTCTCCCATCCCACAGCAGCCCAGATACAGGACGGTCTGATGAGCAAAACCTCTGGGCCTACACTTGCTTCTAATCACGGTCATCTGACGCTGCCCAGGAAGGGTGGTCCAGCGGCTAGGCTAGTACCCTAGGCCGGTGGTTTTCAACCTTTTTTTCTGGCAACCCAGTTGAAGAAAATTGTTGATGCCCACGACCCAACGGAGCTGGGGATGAGGGGGTTGGGGTGCGGGAGGGGTCAGGGCTCTGGGCTGGG